CGCCCCTCCCCTCCCCTCCCCTCCCCTCCCCTCCCCACCCCCCACACCCCAGTGGTTGGGATTACAGCCCCGCGCCACCACGCCCGGCTAATATCTAAAATTTTGGGGGGGATGAGACCTGGGGCGGACGAGGATTGGAGGGGCGGATGGGACAGGGGTGGGGGTCTCACTGTGTTGCCTAGGCTGGTCTTGGATTCTTGGCTGAGCTCCCGGACTCAACGGATCTCCCTCCGCAGCCTTCGCAGTAGGTGGGACTACACGAGGCCTGCGCCGCCACGCCCAGCCCTCCGGATAATTCTTCAAGCTCTTGAAGTGTAGAAGCATTAGCTACATCAGGATATAACCGACGGGCTTTGGAGACAGGCAGTCAACGGCAGACAATGGTTGGAATTCGGTTCCTCCCTTCCAGGATGGAAACTGAATGCAGCCCTCTAAAACGCAGCTATTAAAGCACCCCACCTACCCGCTCGGGTGTGGCCCCTGGGGCTTTCAACCGGCAATTTAGAGGAAAGCTGACCTATTGGCCTGAGTTGATCCTCAAGCCCTAGGTAGGGGACAGGATTTCAAGAGGGAAGGCCATTTCCTTACCATATTTTCTTTTCTTCGTTGCATTTTTTTTTTTTTTACAAGACAATCATCTTATTTGTTTTCCTAGGTTTTTTTGCCCAGCTTTTTGAGAATGTTTTATTACGGAAAGCTGAAACATGTACAGTCTGGTTCCAGCGAAATTGCCATTCATTCCTCCTCCCTGGGTTACTTTGAATCAAATACCAGATCTCCTATGATTTCATTCATAAATTCAGGGGAAAGGCCGGGTGCCTTGGCTCGTGCCTGTAATCCCAGCACTTCAGGAGGCCGAGGTGGGAGGAACACTTGAGCCCAAGAGTGTGAAACCAGCATGGGCAACAGAGTGAGTGCTCATTGTTACCAAAAAACAAAAATAAAATAACCGGGCGCGTGGGTGTGGTGGGGCACGCCTGTGGTCCTATCTACTCAGGGGGCTGAGGTCAGAGGATCCCTTTCGCCCAGGAGCCCCAGGCTGCAGCGACGCTGTCTCAACAAATAAATAAATAAATCCAGAGGGGTGAAAAACACTTTGTTCCTACTATAACTACAATATCCTTTTTACATCTAAACATAATTAAAAATAAATATTTAATATTTTCAAAATACTTAAATATATGTTCAAATATCCAGGAATATTCAAAAACTCCAATTTTCTGGCCATTTCATGCCTGTAATCCCAGGACTTTGGGAGGCCGAGGCGGTTGGGTCACCAGAGGCCAGGAGTTTGAGACCAGCCTGGTCAACATGGCAAAACCTCCTCTGTACTGAAAATACAAAAATTAGTCGGATGTGGTAGTGGATGCGTGTAATCCCAGCTACTGGTGAGGGCTGAGGCAGGAAAATTGCTTGAACTCAGGAGGTAGAGGTTGCAATGAGCCAAGTTCATGCTCCTGCACTCCAGCCTGGGCAACAAAGCAAGACTCCGTCTCAAAAAAAAAAAAAACCCTCCAATTATCTTATATATTTTTCTCTTTTCATTTTTTTTTTCCTGAGTATAATCTTTTTTCTTTTTTTTGAGACAGAGTTTCACTCTTGTTACCCAGGCTGGAGTGCAATGGCGCGATCTCGGCTCACCGCAACCTCCGCCTCCTAGGTTCAGGCAATTCTCCTGCCTCAGCCTCCTGAGTAGCTGGGATTACAGGCACGCGCCACCATGCCCAGCTAATTTTTTGTATTTTTAGTAGAGACGGGGTTTCACCATGTTGACCAGGATGGTCTCCATCTCTTGACCTCGTGATCCACCCGCCTCGGCCTCCCAAAGTGCTGGGATTACAGGCTTGAGCCACCGCGCCCGGCATCTCTTTTCTTTTTTTTTAACAATCTGTTTGAATTAACATCCAAACGAGATCTTTGATAAATTAAAATGTGCCTTAAATTTTTCTTTAATCTGCAAGTTATCGCATCTGTTTTTATTTATTTATTTTATGGAGACAGAGTCTAAGTATGTTGCACAGGCTGGGCTTGAACTCCTAGGCTCAAGCAATCCTCCTGCCTCAGCCTCCTGAGTAGCTGGGATTACAGGCACATGCCACTGTACATGGCTTCCACTTCTTACTTCTTACAATTTGTTGTTGTTATTGTCAAAAGAGTTGTGTGAATTACCTATAGTTTCCTATTTAAATTTTCGCAGTTTTACTTGTTTTATCCTTTAGTTTGTTCTCCTATTTCTGTTGCCCAGGCTGGAGTACAATGGTGCGATCACAGCTCACTGCAGCCTCTACCTGCTGGGCTCAAGAAATCCTCCCACCTCAGCCTCCTGAGTAGCCATGGCTACAGGCATGTGCTACCACACCGGTTTAAATTAATTTTGTTGTAGAGACGGAGTCTTACTATGTTGCCCAAGCTGGCTTTCAATTCCTGGACTCAAACAGTCTCCCACGTATGTCTCCCAAAGTGCTGGGATTACAGGTGTGAGCCACCACACGGAGCCTGCTATTTTAAGGTTTATTTTTATTTATTTATTTTTGAGACGGAGTCTTGCTCTGTTGCCCAGGCTGGAGTGCAATGGCACAATCTCAGCTCACTGCAACCTCTGCCTCCTGGGTTAAGCGATTCTCTTGCCTCAGCCTCCTGAGTAGCTAGAATTACAGGTGCGTGCCACCACGCCCGACCAATTTTTTATATTTTTAGTGGAGATGGGGGTTTCACTATTTTGGCCAGGACCTCTTGAACTCCCAGCCTCAGGTGATCCACCCACCTCGGCCTCCCAAAGTGCTGGGATTACAGGCGTGAGCCATCACGCCTGGCCAATTTGTTTATTTGTTTGAGACGGAGTTTCACTCTTGTTGCCCAGGCTGGAGTGTCATGGTGCAATCTTGGCTCACCGTAACCTCCGCCTCCCAGGTTCAAGCAATTCTCCTGCCTCAGCCTCCCGAGTAGCTGGGACTACAGGCGCTTGCCACCATGCCCAGCTAATTTTTGGATTTTTAGTATAGGCGGGGTTTCACCATTTTTACCAGGATGGTCTCGCTCTCGTGACCTCGTGAGCCGACCGCTTCGGCCTCCCAAAGTGCTCGGATTACAGGCGTTTTGAGCCACCGCACCCGGCCTTTTTTTTTTTTTTTTTTTTTTTTAATTGAGACGGAGTCTCTCTGTCACCTAGGCAGTGTAGTGGCGTGATCTCAGCTCGCTGCAAACCTCCGCCTCCTGAGTTCAAGTGATCTTCTTTCCTCAGCCTCCCGAGTAGCTAGGACTACCGTCGTGTGCCGTCACACTGGGCACCCTGGCTAGTTTTTGTATTTTAGTAGAGAGAGGTTCTCTCCATGTTGGCCAGGCTGGCCTTGAACTCCTGATTTCAAGTGATCCGCCCGCCTCGGCCTCCCAAAGTGCTGGGATTACAGGTGG